GAATTCATCCTTGTGCTATATTTATTTCACTGCAATGGTCTAGGCTGGAACTCACAGTATCTGAGGTAGAACTGTACCTATTTTCACCTACTGAAAGAAATCTGAAAAGGATTTTCACTTTTACAAAATGGTAACTGTTTCTCCACTTTATGCCATTTGGCTTATTAAAGTTTTCATAGGAGCACTCTACTTTTAGACAGCGGGAAAAACTCATATGGCTTTTATTATGGTAGTTTCCTCTTATTCCTAATTTTTTTCAGTGTTCTTATCATGAAAGAATGTTGAATTTTATCAGATGCTTTTTCTGCATCAATTGACATGACCATGTGTTTTTTTCTCTTTCATTCTGATAATGTGGTGTATTAATCTGATTGATTTTTATATGTTGTACTATCCTTGCAAGTCCAAGAATAAATCTCAGTTATGATGTATAGTCCTCTCAATGTGCTGCTGACTTTGGTTTGCTAGTATTTTGTTGAGGATTTCTGTATCAATGTTCTTAAGGGATACTCATCTGTAGTTTTCTTTTCTTGTAGTGTTTATGCCTGGCTTTGGTATCAAAGCAGTGACTAACTCAACCTCATAGAATGAGTAATCAAGTGTTCCTTCCTCTTCAACTTTTTGGGAAAGATTGAGAATATCTGGTATTCTTTTTAAATGTTTGACAGAACTGACAAATGAAGGCATTGGGTGCAGGGCTTTTGTCAGAGACTTTTGATTACTGATTTAATCTCCTTACTAGTTACAGTTCTATTCAGATTTTCTATTCATCATTTAGTCTTAGCAGGTTTTATGTTTTTAGGAATTCATCCATTTCATTTGCTTTTGTGTACAATTATTCCATCGTATTCATAGTATTCTCTTATAATTGTTTTTATTTCTATAGAATTGTGCTAATGTCTGACTTTCATTTTTTATTTTAGTAATGTGAATATTCCTTTTTTCTTAGTTTATTTAGCTAAAGGTTTGTTCATCTTGTTGGGTCTTTTTTAAGAACCAGCTTATAGTTTCATTTTCTCACTGTTTTTCAACTCTCTATTCCATTTATCTCTGCTCTAATTTTTATTATTTCCTTCCTTCTGCTAGCTTTGAGTTTTAGTTTATTTTTCTTTCTTTAAAGTTGTAAAGTTCAGTTACTGATTTGAGATCTTTCTTATTTTTTAATGTAAGCCTTTAGAACTACAAAATTCCCTCTTAACACCACTTTCACTGAATCCCATAAGTTTTGATATGTTGTGTTTCATTCTCCTTTGCCTGTAAGTTTTTTTCTGATTTATCTTGTGATTTCTTCTTTGAGTCACACATTCAACTTACAGTTTTGTGAATTTTTCAGTTTTCTTCTGTTACTGATGTCTAATTTTATTCGATTGTGGTCAGAGAACATACTTTGTGCAATATCATTTTTTTTTAAAGTAGTTTCCACATCCAGCATGGAACCCAGTGCAGGGCTGGAACTCACGAACCTGAATCAAAAACTGAGCTGAGATCAATAGCTGAAGGCTTAAGTAACTGAGCCACCTAGGCGCCTCTACAATATCTATCTTTTAAAACCTGTTGAGAATTAATTTGTGGCCTAAGATATTGTCTATCCTGGAAAATGTCGCATGTATTCATGAAAATAATGTGTACACTATTGTTATTGGGTAGAATACTGTGTATATGTCTGTTAGGTTTAGTTGGTATATTGTGTTAAGTATTCTATTTTTTATCTTGTTCTATACATTACTGTGAATTGGATACTTAAGTCTCCAACTATTATTGGAAAACTATGTCTCTCTTCAATTCTGTCAGTTTTTGCTTTATGTATTTTCGTGGCCTGTCATTAAGTGTGTAAATGTTTGTTTGTAACTATTGTATCTTATTATTTTATATTGAAACTTATATTCCTATATAATGTCCTTTCTCTCTTTTAACCTCTTTTGATCTAAAGTCTATTTTGTCTGATACTAGTATAGCTATGGCCCTGCTCTCTTTTGGTTAATATTTGTATAGGACATCTTTTCCCATTCTTTTACTTTCAATCTATTTGTGTCTTTGGATCTAAGGTGAATATCTTATAAACAGCATACAGTTGGACCATGTGTTTTTATTTACTCTGCTAACCTGTCCTTTAATTGGAAAGTTTAACTCATTTACTTTAAAAGTAATTACTGATAAGGAGGGACTTACTTCTGTCATTTTGCTATTTGTTTTCTATTTGCATACTTGTAGCTTTTTTTGTTCCTTATATCCTGCATTACCGTTGTCTTTTTTTTGTATTTAGCTGATTTTTTTTTCAGTAAACATTTAAATTCCTTTTTCATGTTTTTGTGTATATTCTATAGCTGTTTTCTTTGTGATTGCCATGGGGATTACATTTAACATCCTAAAGTCATAACACTCTAATATGAACTTATACCAACTTAACTTCAATAACATACAAAAACTTTTTTATACTCCATCCCTACCCTTTTAAGTTGTCACAAAATTACATTTTTATATACTGTGTCTCCCAAAATATTAATAGTTTTTTTTTAATGCATAAGTTTCTTATATAGAAAAGAAGATTTGGAGTTACTAAATCTGCAATAATACTAGCTTTTACACTAATAACAACATTTTTCTTTAAATGTATTCGTACCCTTAATCATGTAGAAAACAAAATGGCAGATACAAACTATTTTAACAGTAATACTAGCTTTTACAACTGCCCATGTATTTACCTTTATTGAAATCCTTTTTTTCCCACATGACCTTGAGTTACTGTTTTGTGCTCTTTCATTTCACAATGCAGGACTCCCTTGATCTTTTCATGCAGGGCAGGTCTAGGAGAAATGAACTCTCTCAGCTTTCGTTTATCTGAAAATGTCTTAATTTCCCTCTTATTTTTGAAGGGCAGTTTTCAGGAATATAGGGTTTCTGGTTGACAGAAATTTCCAGTTTCTAATGAGAAATTTGCTATAATTTTATTGAAGAACACTTGGATATGATGATTTGCTTCTCTCCTGCTGCTTTCAAGATTCTTTGTGTTTGTCTTTTGAAACTTTGATTATAATGTGTCTTGGTGTGCGTCTCTTTGAGTTCATCCTACCTGGAGTTTGCTGAGATTCTGGACATTTAAATTCATGATTTTCATCAAATTTGTAAGTTTTCAGCCATTATTTGTTCACATACTCTTTCTGCCCCTTTCTCTTTCTCTTCTTCTTCTGGGATTCCCACAATGTGTATGTTGCTCCATTTAACAGAGTCCCACAGGTCCCCTAGGTTGTGTTCACTTTTCTTCAATCTTTCTTCTTTCTGTTCCTTGAACTTGATAATTTCTGCCTTTGAATCCCCAAAGTGAATTTTTCACTTCAGTTATTGGAATTTTTCAGCTCCATATTTTTGTGAGTTTTTTTAAAGTTTTCTCTCCTTATTGATATCCCCATTTTGTTCATACATCTTTTTCGTTAGTTCCTCTATATTTTTGTTAGTACCTTAGATATCTTTAAGACAGTTGTTTTGAGGTTATGGTCTCAACTATCTGCCATTTGATCTTTACAGGGACAGTTTCTTTTGATTTATTTTTTCCTTTGAGTATTTTTCCTATTTCTCTGTATACCTTGTGACTTCTTGTTGAAAAGTGCGCATTTGAATCTAATAATGTGGTAATTACAGAGCTCAGATTCTCTCCCTTCCCCAGGGTTTGCTGTTTTGTTTTGTTTTTTTTTTAAGATTTTATTTTTTTATTTGACAGAGAGAGATCACAAGTAGGCAGAGAGGCAGGCAGGCAGAGAGGGAGCAGCAGGCTCCCTGCTGAGCAGAGAGCCCAATGCGATGCAGGGCTTGATCCCAGGACCCTGAGATCATGACCTGAGCTGAAGGCAGAGGCTTAACCCACTGAGCCACCCAGGCACCCCTGTTTTTGTTTTTGTTACTGCTTTTATCTTATAAAAGATAAGTATATAGTATGTTCTGTGGGGAGGACTAGCCTGAAGTGTAAATTTAAGGTCTTCTCACATCTTTTGTGAGTCTTTCCCATACAGTCACTTTTTAGTTTTCCCCATATATGCGTGCAGATGTTTCTGAATATCCTAGGCTCCCAAAAGGGGAAAAAGAGAAAAATGAAAGGGAGGGTTAAAAAAAAAAAAAAAAAGTTCTAGCCCTTTAAATCCTCTGGAAGTCACATTAGCAGAAAGGAGAGGGTCTTAAAACAATGGGAAAAAGTTGAACAGTAGGGGCACCTGGGTGGCTCTGTGGGTTGGGCCTCTGCCTTCAGCTCGGGTCATGATCTCAGGGTCCTGGGATCGAGCCCCGCATCGGGTTCTCTGCTCGGTAGAGAGTCTGTTTCCCCCTCTCTCTCTGCCTGCCTCTCTGCCTACTTGTGATATCTCTCTCTCTCTGTCAAATAAATAAATAAAATCTCTCAAAAAAAAAAAAAGTTCAACAGTAATAGCTGCCCATCTCTTTGCACCTCTGTGATCAGAAGTAGTGATCAACAATCTGCTATTTCCTATGACTAAGACTTGAGAGATAAATAGGTCTTTGCTATGGGGTAGGAGGATGGAAGAAAGGCATCCCAGATAGAGAGCAGAAACAGTGGCTCTGATATTATAACAGAGTCTGGCCTGTTTAGGGAATTGCAAGAACTCAGTATGGATGGTACATTTGCCTCTAAGGGTTAAGTGTTAAAGTGAAGGATAAAGAAGTAGGGAAGATCCAATTTCTGAAACATCCCATCAGAAAGATTTTAAGCCAATTAACAATATTACTTTTTCTGTCTTAACACCTTTACATAAAATTTCTACATTATGCAAATATTAGTATGTAAGAGAACTATACTGTAAGGTGGATTCTAATTTTTTAGTAACCAAAATGCCCCACTTATTTTTAATCCTTCTAAGACCATCAGAGACACTCTAAGGCATTCAGTTTTCATACTTATAAGTATTAAATTTACTTTCAAACTGTAAAATACAACAGCACATTGTCTGAAACACTCACATTCATGAATTTATAGTAATCATTCCATTGTCTCATACCTGCACGTTGTAGCAAACACAGTTCGTTGATACTTATATATTTCTTAAACACATCCATACAAACCTACAAGTAATAAAAAACAAAACATTACCTTTTTATATTTCATTTAAAAAGATGCAAATTTCCATCCTATCTTTCTGTTTATTCTATATTTTTTAAGTGAACTTAAAGCAATGGTATAAAAAGTTGAAATTAGGTTAACTCACAGATTTGAAATGCATATTGAATTCACAACAGAAACCTTATTTTAGAGATGCTCTGACAAAGAAATAATCAAGGAAATAAACAAGATTAGCAAGCAACTGGAGAAGGGAGGAAATCCTTGAATGTTCAAAATTTTAAAAACCTTATTTAGATCATTTAAAAAAATAACCATTTACTGGTCCAAGGATAAATACACTTGCCAATGGATTGGACAGAGAGCCTACAAATAGACCCAATCATTTATAATCAGCTGATTTATATGACATGGGTGACCCTGCAGTACAGTGGGGGAAAGAGTGGTCTTTTTTTAGTAAATGTTGTTGGGTCACTTAGGGATCCACATGGGAAAAAAATATTTATCTTTACCTTTTTCTTCACATTATAAACAAAAATCAATACCCAGTGGCTTAGTGTTCTAAATGCAAAGATAAAACAATAGATCTTTTAAAGAAAAAACATAAGATCTTGGCAAAGATTTCTTCAACAGGATACAAAAAGTTAATATAAAAAATTGACAAAATAGGGGCGCCTGGGTGGCTCAGTGGGTTAAAGCCTCTGCCTTCGGCTCAGGTCATGATCCCAGGGTCCTGGGATCGAGCCCCGCGTCGGGCTCTCTGCTTGGCAGGGAGCCTGCTTCCCTTTCTCTCTCTCTGCCTGCCTCTCTGCCTACTTGTGATCTGTCTGTCAAATAAAGAAATAAATAATCTTTAAAAAAAAATTGACAAAATTGGATTACATAAAAATTAAGAAATTAACTACATAAAAATTACATAAAAATTAAGAAATTAAAAGGGAAACTTATACACTAGTAAAAGTTACCTGCTATACACATACCCAACAAAGAACTTAGAATATATAAAGAATTCTTAAGATAAATAAGAAAAAGACAATCCCATAGTATATAGGTAGAAATATTTAGGTATTTCCCAAAAGAGGGTATCCAAATATCCAACAATGATTTTGAAAGCTGCTTAGCTTCATCAGTCATCATCAAGGCAGACATCACTCCCCACCCACCAGAATGGCTAAAATTAAAAGGCTGGTAAATACCAAGAGCTGGTAAGGCTATGAAGCAACCAGAACTCTCAGGCATTGCTGATGAGAGTGTAATTTGGCAGACCACTTCGGAAATCTGTTTGGCAGTGCAGACTAAATTTGAACATATGCAGATCCTATGACCCAGCAACTCCAGCTTTAAGTATAACCCATCAGAAAGTGTACATATATTCACCAAAAGACATGCAGAAGAACACTGATAGCATCGCTATTGTAATTACCATATTTAGAAACCACCCAAATGAATCAAAAATAATATTTATCAATAAATTTTGATATACTCACACAATGGAATATTCAATATTACACAGCAATGAGAAAGAAATGTTTAAAATTAAGTAAAAAACATAGATGAATATTGAGCAAAAAGAAGCCAGAAACTAAAGAATACAGACTGTATGACTTCATTTATATAAAGCACAAAATCAGGCAAAGCTCATTTATGCTACTAGGAGTCAAAGAAAATCTGAATTAAAACATATGACTGAGAAAGGAGGGGCATGGTGGCAGAGAAGTAGGAGACCCTGTTTCAACCAGTCCCCTAAAGTGAGCTAAATATCTACCAGAACACTCTGAACACCCATGAAATCAGCCCAAGACATAGGATTATACACTGCTGGATCTCTATGGGGGCAGAAGACACCAATGCACAGGTAAAGCAGAGTGGGAACTCTTGGATGGATATCGGAGGATAAGCAGAAGAGGCAGGGAGCCACCAGAAGCAACACATTGGAAAGTGATACCCCAATATGAAAGTGCCCTGTGGTTGGGGACCAGCATCAACTTGGAGTCTGGTTAAAAGCACTTAAAAAGAGCAAAAGATCTTAAGTGGTAACTGGTGGAATCCGGCAGTCATGGGCACAGGCCTAAACCCTTGGACCGAGGACCGCCACCGCTGGCAACCACCCTTGCAGGAGAGAGTGCCGCAGAGCCTCCAGTTCCTGGTCCCTGCACCACCCAGCTGTGTGCTGCTTGCACCACCTCTGGCAGGGTGCATTCCCACCCTCGCTGAGGCAGTCTGGTGGGCGCTCTCTAGAACCACAGCCTTTTGCGCTCTGTGTGCACTGCATGACCAGGGTCTGACCACACAGTCCCCACTTGTGCCTGAGAGACCTTGATGTGGACACTAGCCAGTGGTCTCTAGAACCAGCCAAGGGTCTGGACACTCCCAGCTTGCACCTGAAGGAACTCAGCATGATCTCTGGCAGCATGGGCCCAGTCCCCAGACAGCAGTCCTGGCAAAGGCAGCCACCAAAAGCAGGCTCCCTGGACCAAATTTGCTCCCGGATTTAGTGGCACAGGGGTGCAGAGACAAACAGGCACTTCAAGTGACCCCTGAGACAGTGGCTGGGGACAAGCACTGCCTGTGGGACCTTGCGCTTCAGCTTGCAGAATTTGCAGAGGGGGAGTCTGTGTGTTCTGGACCACCCAGAGGGGAGCAGACGAAGGCTTCCCTCTGACGCAGAGGTCTGAGTGGAGTTTCCTTAACACTAAACCTACAAAAAGCCACAAAGAGCAGCCAAAAACAAACAAATAAACAAACAAAACCTCCAGAGAACAAAAGCCTGAGAAACTGGTTTCCAGAGCCCAGCCCCTTTATAGGCAGCAGAACAATTCAACCCAAGCAAGTCTGACTGAAAGAAAACAACACAGCAGGCCCCTACCCCAAAAGGGAAGCCAAAAGAACAAGAGGACAACCACCACAGGGTCCCCATAAAACTGTAAAACCCCAACATCAGGAGAAAACAATATATTAAGCTCCTGGTATTGCCCTAAAACCTGTATATTTCATAGATACAGGTTTTTTTGTTTGTTTTTAATTCATTCTCACGATTCTTGTTCTTTTAATCTCTTTACCCTACCTACCATTACAACTAGAGGTTCAATAAAACATACTCCATACTTACTTTTAACTTTAACTTTTTTCATACATATACCTGCATTTTTTTCTTTTTTTTTTAAATACATATAGATATAAGCTTCAAGGTAATCCTTTTTCCCTATTCAATACTACCCCATATATAAACCAGTTTTAATCTCCCTTTATCTCTGGAAAGTTGAGTCCTTTAACAAAGATAACAAGATAAACCCAGGAAGAACCAAAATAACCTTCCTCTCTCACTGCGAGGATTTATAACCACCCGCCCATCTTTTTCTTATGTCAGTTTCTCTGTGTATTTGTTTTTGTTCTGGTATTATATAAACCTTATTCTTGGGGTTCATTTTGACTGGGTTCTTTTTTTTTTCCTTCTTTCTTGTCATTTACTTTTGTCAGTCTTTTTGTCTGTTTTTGTTTACATACCTTATAAATTTTACTTTTTGGCCTCATTCGGGCTGCGTTTTCTCTCTTTTTTTTTTTTTTTCCTTTCTCTCTCTCACTTTCTTTCTTCCCTTTTTTCTTTTTTCATTCTATTTGGGGGTGACTCCAATTGCTCCAAAGCATTCCAGGGTGCACCATGCCTGGATCGTGGTTGATATATACAGCTATAAAACCCCTTAACCACCTCTCACCAAAATGACTAGGAAGAGGAACATCCAACAGAGGAAAAATTCAGAGACTATGTCCTCTCCATCAGAACTATTGGATATAGAAATAAACAGTATGTCGGAAAGGGAATTCAGGGTAACAATTATCCAGGCAATAGCTAGGTTGGAGAAAACCATTAGTGACAACACAGAATCTCTAAAGGCAGTGAGAGCCATCAGAGCAGAAGTTAAAATGCTATCAAGGAGATCCAATTTAATCTAAATACTCTAACAGCTAGGGTAACAGAGGCAAAAGAAAGAATTAGTGATCTAGAGGACAAAATGATAGAGAAAAATGATCAGGAGGAGGCATGGAACAAACAGCTTAGAAGACATGAAAACAGAATTAGGGAAATAAATGATGCCATGAAACATTCCAACATCAGAATCACTGGAATCACTGAGGGGGTGGAAAAAGACAGAATAGAAGATATAGTTGAACAAATTCTGGATGAAAATTCTCCCAGTCTGAGGAACAGAACAAGGGTTCCTGTCCTAGAGACAGAAAGGACACATGCCAATATCAATGAATCTAGAAAGACCTAAAAGGCACATAATTGTGAAACTGACAAATCATAATTTTAGACAAGTGCTTCTGAGGGCATCTAGGGAGAAGAGTTTCCTTATATACAGAGGAAGGTCCACTAGAATAACGTCAGACCTGTCCACAGAAACCCAGCAAGACAGAAAGGGCTGGCAAGATATATTCAGGGCACTAAATGAGAAGAACATGCAGCCAAGAATACTTTAGCCAGCAAGGTTGACAATCAAAATGGATGGAGAGATAAAGAGCTTCCAAGACCTTCAAGGTTTAAAAGAGTATGTGACCACCAAATTGGCACTACAAGAAATATTAAGGGGGGTTCTATAAAAGAAGAAAGAACCCAAGAATGACAGAGAACAGAAATTTAGAGACAATGTATAGAAACAAGGACTTCACAGGCAACATGATATCAATAAAAACTTATCTTTCAATAATTACTCCCAATGTGAACGGCCTAAATGCTGCCATAAAATGGCACAGGGTTGCAGATTGGATAAAACAACAGGCCCCATCCATATGCTGTCTACAAGAGACCCATTTGGAACCTAAAGATACAACCAGACTGAAAGTGAAGGGATGGAAAACCATCTTCATGCCAACGGGCCTCAAAAGAAATCTGGGGTAGCAATTCTCATATCAGATAAATTACATATTTTTATAAAGATTTTATTTATTTATCTGAGAGAGAGAGAGAGAGAGAGATCACAAGTAGGCAGAGAGGCAGGCAGAGAGA